TCCATATACTTGTCTGCAAAGATGCGCGAAGCAAGTGTTGTCTAAACGTTGATTCACAAAGGGGGAAGCTTAGGCAGAGACGTATCTTTTGTAGTTTTACACCTTATTTATAAAGGTCACTGTGTACTCTTTTGCATTCACCCTTTTGATCATAAACCAAAGCCACAAGCTTTCTTCCAACTGAAATAGATTCACCAACATCACAGTTTGCGAGGTTTAGTGAATCGGACACATCACTACGCACCTGTTTCAGGACTTTGAAAACCAAATTGTTTTTGGCATGAAAAACATTGCCTATGTGGACTCACTTCCAGAATTTACATGCGCGGCAGGCAATTAAAGCATTGACTGACGACGAAAGAACTGCATAGTTCATATATAGGTATAAAGCATCTTGCATCCTTGGTTCTGTTTACAGTTCCAGTATCAAACCAAAGTTTTTCTGTGCTTTTTTTAAGAAGAAAATAGTGGACACAACGAACTAAAATGTCCGTATCCTATGATCCTTCCTTTACAGGTTCGACTTCCAAACTGTTAATCGATATGAATGGCATGAAAAGCTTAAGTTCCAGCTAAAGTTAGTTCATTATTACTTGCTAGTAAATTAGGTTAGTTTTGGTTGTAGCAACAAATAAAATTCCCAATAAACTGGATCAATTAATGCTTACTAGTATTTTCGTTGGAAGATAAACAGCAGAGAATAAAATGCTCCGCTGGGCGCAGCTTGATACGACCGCAGAGGTCGAACCCTGAACAGTTGGGGCAAGTATGGACACAACATTCAAGTTTGATACAGCTCTGAATTTGGATTGTGATTAAATATTTGACACAGCATAGGTTTCTGACACAGAATGAATGTGGTCTAAGAACTTAAAATTTTTAATTTACCTATTATGGTCCAATATCCAAAATCTAAATACATGGTTAGATTCAGCATATCAAAGAATCCAAAGAATTCAATTTTTGATGAAATCAAACAAAGTTTAATTTTGGACCCTTTTGACCTCAATGTGGACCAATTTGATAACGGGGCATAAAAAATCAAAATACATGGTTTGATTCAGCATATCAAAGAACCCCATATATTCAATTTTTGTTGAAATCAAACAAAGTTTAATTTTGGGCCCCAACTTGGACCAACTTGAAAACTAGGCCCATAATCAAAAATCTAAACACATGTTTAGATTCAGCATATCAAAGAACCCCAAGAATTCAATTTTTGTTAATATAAAACTAAGTTTAATTTTGGACCCTTTGGACCTTAATGTAGACCAATTTAAAAAACGGGACCTAAAATTAAAAATCTAAGTACACGGTTAGATTTGGCATATCAAAGAACCCCAATAATTCAATTTTTGATGAAATAAAACAAAGTTTAATTTTGGACCCTTTTGACCTCAATATGAACCAATTTGATAGCGGGACCCACAAATAAAAAATCTAAATACATGGTTAGATTCAGCATATTAAAGAACCCTATATATTCAATTTTGGTTGAAATCAAACAAAGTTTAATTTTGGACCCCAATTTTGACCAATTTGAAAACTGGACCCAAAATTGAAAATCTAAATACACGGTCAGATTTGGCATAACAAATAAATAAATGTGGTTAAAGATTTTACAAATCTAATGCGCCATACTGTGCAATTAAAGATTACTTCTTGAAATTTTTCAATATTTGAAATTTGAAAAAAAAAAAATATTTGAAGAATAATTCTTTTTAATTTCTGAAATCTGAAATGAGAAAAAATTGACCCCCCCCCCCCCCACAATTTCTTTTTACCCCCCCCCCCCCTTTTTTCCCCCAAAAAATTCTTTCCCTCAAGATATGGTCAAAATCTCAATTCAAATTTCCAATGGAATTTGCAACCATAATTACCCATTTAAATTTACCATAGTGCTAACGTAATCTATTTTATAATAGAATTTAAAATATGGTGTCAAATCTTTCATATGGATTTTTTTGTAAAAAAAAAAGATGCAACATTTGCAGATATTTTTACTGGTCTTCCTTTATAAATATGCATTTCTTCAAACATAATTTAAAAGCAGTGTAAGGGAAGTAATCAAAACGTTGTATTTGGATTACCTCCCTTACACTGTTTTAAATTGTCTTAATTGTTCATTAACCAATACTTTGTACATAATTTAAAAGCAGTGTAAGGGAGGTAATTCAAATGATGTATTTGATTTATCTCCCTTACACTGCTTTAAATTATGTTTTGTACTAAAGTATTTGTCCATATAAAAATGCTTGTTTTTTGCCCCTTTTTTGCCCCTAATTCCTAAAATTTTGAGGCAATTACCCCCAAAATCAATCCCAGCATTCCCTTTGTGATATGGAACCTTGTGGTACAATGTCAGAGAGATCCATACACTAACACACAAATTATGTCTGGAAGTTACAAAAATGCTTATTTGTTGCCCCTTTTTGGCCCCTAATTCCTTAACTGTTGGTACCATAACCCACAAAATCAATCCCAACCTTCCTTTTGTGGTATTAAACCTTATGGTAAAATTTCATAGAGATCCATTCACTTAAACTAAAGTAAGAGTGCGAAAACCAATGTGTCTTCGGACGACGACGACGACGACGACGACGACGCCAACGTCATACCAATATACGATCGCAAAATTTTTTTGCGGTCGTATAAAAAGGTAAACGATTTATCGAACTCGTATGGTGACAATACGATGTTCGTTCTCGATCGCGAGTTGATGGCAAAGATCGGCTTTACATGATTTTTCATTGAGATGTCATCATAAACAAGGATTGAAGAGGTCGAACCAATCGAAAATGACAAAACTGTTTCAACGGTGAAGTCATCTCGACTATTCGATAACACTAATGTTCATCGTTAGGTCCTCAACTGTTTTAATATTGACCGAAGGATGGAAGAAAGAAACTACGAATATTACCTTCCGCAAAGGCCCATCGATAATGCCATGATGTTACCATCATCAACAGCCGACGTCAGAGAGGTATGTATTTCTTTCGATACATGCATTCCAGTTAACATACACCTCATCCAACCTTTTAATATTTATTCATTTCAGAAATAAAAATCGATTTCCTTTTAATAATTAATTGACTCAAACTTTCAGTCGAAGTTTTTTTTTCTAGCATATTATGCAATGCATAAAATTTAACAACATTCGTCTTTTCTTTGGTCTTGAAGGAACAAGTTTCAAAGGACTTGACGATTCATACGTGTCGCTGAATTTTAACAGAAAATATCTGTCAGTGATTTGCAAACAAACTTTATAAATATATATAAGTGCAATATGTATATATAAAATAACGAAGAAAGGTAGTAATTTCATATATTAGTTTAGTCCTAGTTAATGACCGTAAGGTTTGATAATACAAGAAATGCGACGATAGGGGAGTGATCAAGTTTCGTGATGAAATTGCAATTTTTTATTTATTCTTTCTTCAGTTTTTAGTATCTGCGTTCTGAAATTTTATCAGTTACAAGTTTTATGAAGTGCTAATTGCATAAAACATTATTAAGTAGTCATAACAAGTACTAAGAAGAAGAAACTTAAGTTTGTGTCTGAATTTGCAACAAATATAACTAAACTTTTAAATAGTCAGAATTTGCAAATTTTATAGATTAGATGTAAATAAAAAACTTAATTGAACATTTTAAAAGATGATAACGGATACAATAAAAATATGTTTATAAATAAATATAAATTTTATGTATGCATGTATATTCAAATTCAAATTTTGAAAAGGGGGGTTACAAATTCACCAATATACTTGTCACTAAAACGAATTTACCATACGAAATTCTTACAGGGTGGATAATAAAGTAGACATATATGTGAGTAAGTTGAGACCTTTTTTTTAGCTGTGTTATTTGGGGGATTAAATTCGAAATTTAGACGTCTTTTTCACTCTTGTCACTGCACTATAAATCAAAACAGTTGGAAAGGCAAGTCAACAGCGAAGATAAAGAACACTGAAGCCAAAAACATTCAAAAAGTTGTGTCAACATGCCTTGAGAAAAACATTTTAAAAAGAGTATATTTACAAAAAAAAAATACAGTATCAATGATATTTCAAGTCAGAAGAAAAGCGGATTACTGGACTGGTGAAACATTCAGGGACAAAACTGCCACCAGCAGTGGCTTCGACCCAGTGGTTGTAAACCTGGTCACAGATACCAGACAGAAAAGCCAGCAGAAATTTCGTTTTGTTCACTAAAAGAAAATTTCATGATAATAAAAAAAATAATATCCACGATACATCTAAACATGTGAACAATAACAAGTCATCGTACGGCCCTCAGGAACACATATGCATTAAGAAACCTATAAAAGGACCCGGTATGACAAAATGTGAAACAAATCAAAGACTGCAACCAAAAGCTGGATTTATTTTAAGAAATGAATGAAAAACAAATATTATTAATGTGGATATTTTCGAAGTTTGTTAATTTTTGAGATTTCAATGCATACAAATATTGCACAGGGGTTAAATTCATACTTGGAACGAAAATTTAGCCCTTCACACCACTATTGATACTTTCTCTACCCATAAGCGTTGGTGATATTTTCGGACATCTTAATGGATGGCGAAATAAGCGTTACAACCCCCGCGCCAAAATCGCAACATTTACAGCATTGCAGACAGCAAATAACGACAACCAACGGATTATGGGTAAATAGCTTAGGAAAGGCATATTACGAATGAGATGGGGGAAAACATGTTTGTGACCAAACTATTAAACCACATTTGTTTTTTTTTTCATCTTGAAATATGGGTGTCTTAACTTACTTTTGTTATTTATGTTTCTTGTTCATTTTCGTCCAATTTATTAAAGTGAACTCGGTCTTAAGATTTTACTTACGACAATTTTCCGGAATAAGCAGGGTTCAGACTATACACACATACCTTACTATTAAACATTTCGTATATAGATAAATGAATAATAAAGACATTAACACAACAAGGAGCCATTATTATCATACCATATTTTTGTAAACTTACGATTTTTGTCTTTTAAGAGAGCTTCATATTTAGAAAATCTAACATGACAGCTATATCGACTGTTGAGATCTTCTTTTCCAATGTTTCGAATTGTCAAGATGTATTTGCCAGGGGATCTTGTTAATCCATACTTTTGAGGATGGAAAACAGATTTACCAACGGTTATTATCTGATTTTCTGGTCCGCCTGTCCATCTCGGAATTCCCGGACATGTAATAGTGTCTCTTATATCACATTCTAACTTGGTTTCTTCCCCGATAACGATAGCCTTTGTTATAATTTTCCAATTGACTGGAATTAAAAAAAAATTGATAGTTAATATAGAATCGAATTGTCGCTAGATTAAACACCCCACGCTCCGACATGGTCACTGGGTGAACAAAATCTCCTAGATTTCTAAGCTCAAAGACTTATAACTCCTATAAAAGTAAACTGATACATATGCACATCTACATAGTATGTCCTTATTATCTACAAAGTTTCATGAAATTATATTGCGTGGTTTCAGAAGAGTTCCGATGACAAGAACAGGACTGACGGACTGTCTGACGGACTGACGGACGGTCGGGTCAAAAACTTTATAGTATTACCCTCGTGGGATCTAAAAATTGTCTTTTGACTAAAATATCAATTTTGTTTTAACTGAAAAAAATATAAAATGTGTATGAATATATATTTAATCTTCCTTCCAATTTTCCACTAATGTAAAATGGTTTGTAATCAGCATGTGTTATACAACTGTAAGATTGTTTCATCCTGTTAATAAATACATAAATTTGAACTGATCGTTACAATGTAGCGGTACTGATCATGAAATAAATCACATTATTTAAATGTTCAGACATTATGAATTCAAATATTTAATCAAGATGGTCTTTCAGTCTAAAATAAGTGTAAATTTATCATTTGATAATTGCCTAATTATTAACTGTTTTGTAATCATATTTGTATCAGCTCGTAGTGGTTTCAATGAATGAGTTTTCAAATTGGTAACATCAACTTTCCTTTGCTTTCTAGTACCACAAAGTTCTAACGAATTTTCAAACCCAGTGATGCATGTATTTACATATAACATCACGCATTCTGAGAGTATTGCATGGCAATACATAGTCCCCTACCGGTTAAAAATTAATTGTACTGGAACGATATGCTAACTTGATCTATAACTTGTCACGGTGTAAACTATATAACAAATATCAAGTCAATATCTTCAAGCATGATGACAAAAAGTGTGGAAAACTGATTATTTAAGTGAATTTTCTTAGTCCAAGGACCATAACTCTCCATAAAATCATCAGACCAAAACAAAATTCGAACTTGGTCTGTAACTTGTCATGATAAAACTATATACCAATTATCAGATCAATATCTTCAAGCATGACGAAAAAAAGTGTGGAAAACTGATTATTTGAGTGAATTTTCTAAGTCCAAGGACCATAACTCTGCACAAAATCATCAGACCAGAACAAAATTCGAACTTGATCTGTAACTTGTCATGATAAAACAATGTACCAATTATTAAATCAATAACTTCAAATATGACGGAAAAAAGTGCGGAAAACTGAATATCTGAGTGAATTTTCTAAGTCCAAGAACCATAACTCTGCACAGAATTATCAGATCAGAACAAAATTCGAACTTGATCTGTAACTTGTCATGATAAAACAATATACTAAATATCAAATCAATATCTTCAAGCACAAAGAAAAAAAGTGCGGAAAACTGATTTGCCGGACAGACAGACAGACAGACAGACGGACGGCAAACCTAAAGTCCCCCTCGACTTCGTCGTTAGGGGACTAATAATTATGATATATATCATGCACTCACCTAAACATTCAGCTCCCTTTATTTGATAAGCATCTTTTAGTAAGAGCACCATCAATATTATAGTGCGACTTAAAAAAGATGGCTGTTTATATATACCTGAAATTAACAACAATAATAAGGTTTACGTCAGGATACGGCAACTCGGCTTTATGCTCATTATCTAATAAGATAACTCAAAACGATACAAAACTGGTCGTTGTCATGAACTTGATTTTGAACATGAACGCAAGTTGACTAGGGCAAATCAGGGATAATTTTAACTCAACTCATCTGAGACAATTTTTAGACAGATAACTCCCAATTCAAAATATCGAAAATGCATTCACAAAAAGACTGCATATGTCTTAGAGCTACCTATATAGAAAACTATGTGGTAATTTTGTACATGTAATGTGTAGCTTAAATATCACTAGTGAAGACTCACAACGTTACGAGGGAGAATCTTTCGATTTCAAGGTCCTTAATTTCAATAAAGAAAAAAATAGAATTAAAAAGCGTCAGAAAACTCAGCAATCATTGACAAGGTTATAAAATACTACAAGAATTACTAGTTTACCTGTACATTAACTTGCTTGCAACTACAGACATATTGGCTGGTCGGTTCCAATAATATACCGGGGTAAATGCTTAGTTTTGAATATATACGGATTATTAAGGCAAAGTTTGATATGTTGTCTTTGCATAGAGTCAATTTAAAGTATTTAATATTTATCATTTCGACGTAAAATTTTGCGGTCGTATAAAAACAACTACCAAACCGATATAAGACACAAAGTTCCGATCTAACAGGATATAAGACACAAAGCTCCGATCTGACAGTACTTGTATTGGATTATTTACCCGTTAATGAATCGTGTTTCGAACATTTGCAAGGCATATTGATTATACTATCAATCTATATTGTTATATATTCGGTTTTTTGGAACCGTGGCTTTTAAAATAACGTGAACAAATGTAAAAATGTAGTTGGACTGAAAATTTATTCTATGAAAAATTATGCAGTGCTTTATTAGCAGTTAATAAACTTACCTCTTCTTTCATTGCTTTTCTGAAAAAAAAAGAAAAAGATTATTCAAAAGGACATAATTATATGTTTTATGATACTTTTACATCTTATTCATACTCGGTCTTCGATAAAAACAGTAACTTGCATACCTCATTTTTATCTTTATACTCGGTCTTCGACAAAACAGTAACTTGCATACCTCATTTGTATCTTTATACTCGGTCTTCGATAAAAAAAACAGTAACTTGCATACCTCATTTGTATCTTTATACTCGGTCTTCGATAAAAAAAACAGTAACTAGCATACCTCATTTGTATCGGCATCCACACAAGTGGGTATCCAACATATAAATACACACTGGAACATGATTCACTGTATGTGTAACGATATGAATTTAATATTGAGGATTTCATTTTAATCCTTCATCAGGGCGGACTGGGGTTTAGAAATCAGGTCATTCCTGTATTCTCCCGTCCGAAAGCAATACAAAAATAGGGAGTCCGTTTGGGTATGCGAGATGTATAAATAAGTAGCCACGTCCGGTTGGAATGGGGATATTAAATTCAATGCCTCATGTCTGGGTAGTGCCTCGCGCTCTAAACGTCAAAGAAACCTTGACACTCCTTCCATCAATATATCAATTAAAATAAAACATTAAAAAAAAAATTCAACTCTCTTCTTCGGTTTCGTCCCATAAAAACTTTGAAATGAATGAGAAAGAGAAAGAAAACATTACAGAAAATATACTTTTTTATTGAAATATTCCCAAATTTTTTTATTATCATCCAGAAATTGGCAATTATTATGTTAAGATTTTTTTTAATTTTCTAAAATAAACATTTATAATTGCTTTTAGAACTATATTACACAATTCGCTTTCAAACGAAATGAAAAGAAGCATATGCCACATTTATTTTATATAAAGTAAGGGGTTTGGGCCAGTAAATAATTAGAATACTGATGCCAAGCTTTGATGAAACAATGTCCAGCAATAAAGGAGAAAAAATGTGTTATCATGCTAAATGCATGTTATATATGCAATTGTTAAACAAAGGGATAGTATTTAGATGAACACTGGAATGTAACAGCTTCTGGCCACTGGTCATGTTTGGGTCCTTGATATTTCTATTGTTCCTCGGGTATTCTCTATAAAAAGGCCTACCATTCATCCAACATCTATTAAAATAGTATGTGTATGTAGGTAGAAATATAAACAGTTAGTAAAAATGATAACAATAAATTCAAAATAAAATCAGATAGAAAAGAAAGGGTATGGGGTATCCCATCCATGACACACAATCAGTACATGCACAGCAAAAAAAAAGAAAAAGGAATGCGTCAAAACTTAAAAAAAACATAAGAGCATACACCTCAAGCACGGGGAAACTTTCTACGGACTCCACACTGCACGAGAGACAAACTCCGTTAAACAGGCCTTTAAATAAAGAGACAACGAGAAAAAAGAGTAAATACTAGTAGCTTCCTTGTTAATTCCAGCCATATGACAGTGAAACTGTAAAAGGCAGATTGATTATGCGCAGCTAGGTTGAAACAATTAAATGCAAGAATTGCATGTTTCTTTGAAGAAATGTTTTCTTTGCAAAGGTTTTCAGTCTAATTCTATTTTGACCTTGGATTTGACAGAGATTGTAAACTATCGAGTGTTATCTCATTTCAGAAGGCAAATATTTTGTAGTTTGTATTCAATCATTGCGACTTGGAGGGGGAGAGATATTGAGATTGACATTTGACTTTGATACCTGTCTACCATTGAATACAGACATCTTTGCCATGCCTGTATTCCAACAAGAGATATCAAATTTTCAATGTGGTTCAGTAGAAAATAAAAACTTCAGCTCTTATTGTTAAATGAAACTACCAGTCCATCAATTGCAGAAAGCTTTATAAAATGATAACAGCTTCTTTTTCTTTTTGCATTTTCAGGCTTCAAAAGAAATGTCATATTACTTTATAGCACATGCATAGTAATAGTTATCCAATAACAGTTATTGTCAATGCCAAGAGTATCAGGATGTATTCTGGGTGTGACAGCTACCAAGTATCTGTCAACTTAAAACCCTATCCTCAATCATGTTTATCAAATAACTAATATTGATTGATTGATTGATTGTTGGTTGCTTAACGTCCAGTGGAAAGTAGGGACGTTAAGCAACCAAATAATACTGAAAAGCATGTAATAAAGTGAAATGTCCATATTCTGTCAAAAACTGAAAATTGCATTTCTCTAATCTGTAATTTTATATGTTTTCTGGAAAAAAATGTTAGAAAATTAAAGTTCTTTCACAACATAAAACAAGGCCATGGGATGCGAAAACTAATTATTATAAAATGGTTGTAAAAACGTTTTTTAGGTCTAATATGTAACTGGCATGTATAAATATGTGGAATAATGAAGAATTGTCATGCAATTAAATAGAAGACCATGTTGACCTGAAATCAATATTCTTCAATGCATGTGCATGGCATGCAGAATTCAAGTGACTGCTAAACAACTAATGTAAACATTGAAGGGACTAACTCATCACTAGAAAGAATTCATTTATCAACTGGATGCTGATAGTTGAACTTTTGAAGGATTGCCTGGAGAAGATGAACAGGGAATGAGTGCAGTTTTTATATTATGATGTTATATCATCTTCATCCCTGGCGGGGATTTCTTTTACTGCGCAGCGACATCTGTGGACTGTTTTTTTAATTGTCTCCACTTGATTTTCGAATAATAAATCGGGGGTTTCAAGCCAATGAAACAACTATCCACCACCTTAGTCCAAATGACATGGATCTAATTAGCAACTACAGGTCACTATACGGACTTTGGCAATGGGCAAAACCCACACCGTATAGTCATCCATAAAAGGCCCCGACATGACAAAATGTGAAACGAGAAAAACTAATGGCCTGATTAATGAAAAAAACATGATCTTTTATCATAATACTTTTGTCCACAGACGGCCAGCGGTTGTTTTAAACAAGATAGCACTTACTTTGTTTATGCAAGATGATCTTCCATGACGATTTTCATTTGTGGTAGTTGCATGTTTGTTGTGGTAAATACTGGCAACCGGCGATATAAACATAATGTGTTTTAATGAATTACTATGCCATCTTAATTTTCATTGCAATGTGGAATGGCCTGCATTTAAGTATCATCGTTTGCTTTTGTAACACTAATCAACTAATCATTTTCGCTGAAAAAAAAACAATTTTAATATTAACTCGACACGATGTTACAGAAGCATAGGGATCAAATATGTCACACGATGATCACATGTCGGCTAAAAGCTGAATAGAACTTATGTTATGTCCTTGTTTGTATACTATTCTTGACTCTAAATAAAGATTATTATTATTATTATTATTTTCATTAAATATTGCTAACTTCAATTAAAGGACAAAAATATGCAACCGCAAATTTCCAGATTATATAATGTTAAGCTACAGGTGTCAGCCCTCGTTGTGTAACTTTAGGCTTCTTTTTGTCGTATCAACATGTCAAAATATATCACAATATGTGTTACAATTCTAGATGAAGTCGATTTTAGAAGGCATCAGTCAACTAACAAAATCAATATTACACCAGCAATACATGAGGGTCTGGATGGGGGGTCCTCCATTTCTGTATTCTTTATTTTTTTATGCCGTTTTAAATATAAATAATATAGAAATCGACATTACCATGCGCTCTTGTGCTATCGTTTATCATTAAAGTCAAGGATTTGTATAGTAAGACTTACTATACAAATCTTTGTTCAAGTTAAATGAAGTTAGGGCAAAATGTTTTTATCTTCAAAATATTGAATTGGATCAAAAATCATTACCGATCGAATATTTTTAGGGGAATAAATTTCTACAAATTGTTATATTACCTCCGTGAAATTGCACTCATCAATATACTTGTATACTTGACCTACCTAAAAAGTTGCCTATTCCGAGCCCACTTCAACCTCCCCTCTCCATTTTTTTAAGAAGAAAAAAAACATCCACAAAGTTAAAACAGTTTCTCAATACACTTTAACCATTATTAATGTACTGTTTTTTTTTCATTGTTGATGAATATATAAAATGTAGCATTAGTATTACTTTTAAAATGCTGCTATCCTTTTCTTTAAATACTGGTTTTTCTTAAATTCTGTATTCTTTAATTCTTTGCCCATTATTTTTTTTTTCTTTATATTTTAAATCTCATTATTCTTTATTCTTTATTTTTGGCCTATTTTTCTCAATTCTTCATTTATTTTAATTTTTTGGCTTATTATTTTGTAGTATATACATAGAGATAAAGATAGATATATATATATAATCTATATACCCAAATCTATATACCCATCCAGACCCTCATAAATACGTTATAACTATGTAGCTATGACATAATACGTAAAGACGCGGAACTAATATAAAACATACGGATAAAGTATCATGGCAGTTTGCCTCGATTCACCGCCAGTCACGTGATATCAATGTGCCTATCGCGATCAGACACTTATTTTAGGTTCAAACGGATACGTCAAAAAGAATATATTAACCTATACATATAGGTTTGCATGGAATTCAGAGGTTTCATATTTTGTGTACGAAATGGAAATTCTGTATCTCTTCACAATAACATTTTGAATCACAAAAGATAACTATTATAATGAAATTTGTTACAAATCATTAAGACATCAATGAATATCACAGTAACAACTTACTGCGCAAAAAGTCGTGAGAATCCCCCAGTGGTCGACATGAAGCGGTTGTTATTGATAGATTTTCACTTTTATTTTGTCCATATTTCGAATTATTGCTTTTATAAGATTGATATAAAAAAAGGGGACAGAGTAAAAGGTCATAATGCAAGATATATGAATGAAGGTGAACATTTGCATGTAAAATTGTTTTGTCAATCTACTAGCTGGTTGAGATTAAAAAGGGGGAGGTTTGAGGTCTTTAAAAAAAAGGACACCTGTATGTTGTTAATGATTGTTTGTTGTCCTCTAGATGGACAGGTTATTTTCATTGGTGGGTTCGGTTTTTGGTTGGATCCTTCATGTCTCGGTCACATTAAAGTAAATAAAGAAATAAAAAAAATATTCGTTAATTTATATTAGACAATTATTTGACTTATTTTTTTTCTATTACAATGAACAAACCAATTCAATTTAAATAATAGTATTTTTTTTCAGCTATTTCAGAAAGAACCTGCTCCAGAAATTGTAAACTAGAGGATCATTTGGTGAAAAGTCTGGCACATATTAATTAACTTGATTCTAAGTTTCTCTTTCTAAATTTTCATCTTATATTTTCCCCTGATTGAATAACTCCTGGGCTCTATATAAAGAGTTGAAATGAATTTTTGAAGGTATAATATAAAGAATTTTTTTTTCTTGACCAATAGCATAGTACATTACGTAAAGACAATACTCGTTTTATTTTGATTTCGTTTTAATTTACCAAATAAATGGTATAAATTGTGCCCGAATTATTTTAATTTTTTACATTATTATTCATATTATTATTATTATTGCACACAAGAAAAGGTCATCGCAAACGCAATTTTCGTTTCACAGTGCACAACGGCGGGTTAGTTTTGGTGTATTTATCACTCGGACGGTTTCAATTTGAATTTTGATATTTTTCAACCAACATTACATACATCTGAAGAACAATTGCACATACGAGTACATGTACATGTTGCAATTGTAATGTACATGTTAATGAGCAAGATTGAAATAACTAGTCCAACTTTGTTTTATAAAAAAAAAAAAGTTGGCCAAAGTAGATACAACTATCTTGTTTTAGGATTGGATAAATCATATTTTGTAAACAATTTAAAACCACTCTGATTCAAACAAAAAATTATCTGAAACTGACATCATTAAGATGCTTTATATTTTGATTGAGTAGATATTTGTTACTTTTATGAGGACGTGTTTTTCAGTACACAATGGACATTCTTATTGGAACCGACTGTGTTCTTCTTGTCGACTTGTTCCTTTAGGTTGCAGTCTTGTAATTGACTGCTCCATAGGCTTACATGCAAAACAGCTGATCTTTGAAATTTTTTTTTAAATAAATGCTACGTAGAAAATTTGTTTCATGTACATATCATGTATGTAATAATTTGAAATTGTGATTTGATGCAAAAAAAAAGTGGGTCTTGCCACGAAGAATAAAAAGTTATGAAACCCTGAAGTCAAAACTACTTTTTTCTACTTTCTGTTTGCTGTTTTTACTAGGCCGCACCACTTCCAGTCAACATGATATCCTTCCAATTTTCTGTTTTGATATCCCAAAAAAGATGCAATATTTTTTTTTAATCTAAATACTTGTTTCAATTCAGCATAAACTTTTAATCAAACAGATAAAATTGAGTCCAGAAAAAAAATCAGAAAAAAATGGACTTTTTTATTTCTCTCCATGTTTAAATTTTAACATGCACTGGAAACGGGGGTTGTGATACAAGACTGGTACCTATAACTGTAATGAAATGCCTTAAAAAATAAATCATTTAAATTATTTCATTTAGTAGCCATATTTGAACATAAAAAATGCTATCAAAAGAATTGTTTAGTTATATTATTAAATATAATCCCATTATTATAGGAGTACTATTTTCAGAAACAAGACAAAATTTGGGAAATAAGTCATGCCTATCAAATGATCTGTAAATCTCATTCTAGTTTATCTTTATGAATGTTTACTAATTATTTGGATACTGTGAAGCCAGGGAAGAGTTCTTATTTATTCTTTTTATTTTTTTCCTTCGCTTTGATCAAACCACATACAATATTTTACCACTCCCCCTTTTTTCCATGAAATCTATCCAAGTGGGCCTCTTGTTTTAGTCAAATTGAAAAACTACCCCAAAACTTTTCCATAATGAATAATTTGTTGCAATACAACTTTTTAAAGACAAGAACAACTATACCTTTCTCTTTTTTGACTATTCATATCTTCATACATGCCTACTTACTATATCATGGTTTTTAGGCTGTACTTCACACCCCCATGCATATAAAATTTGCAATAAAATCCTAGAATAAACAAAATGAATGCTCAAGTTGGTGTTTTTGGTAAGAATATTGATTACTTGTCACACCTTATCACAAAAATCCTTGTCATCATGGATAGTATTAGAAAAATTCGCCTTTTTAAACAAATTTTTAACCCAAATGTGGAATTTTTAATTAACGATGCAATGCTGCAGACAGGAAAAGAAGTCACAGACTCTTGGAAAGTGAAAATCTTTTCAGCGAAAGTTCATTTTATATATACTCTACCTAAATGTCAACAATTGAGCCATAGAAAAAATAACCGTAAAGAAAAAATGATTTTTTTGTGAAGCTGTCTATTCAACTTTACACTGATTTTCAATGAAACTGCTCAACTAGAATTTTCATCACAAGAAGAAGTTTTCATTGAGAAAAAAATCTTTCTATGTTCTTTTTAATTGAAAATCATATATGTAATACTACAAGAATCTCAATTTACCTCAAACTGTTGTGCTTTACATCTTTTTATACTTTTGTATGGTGTCTTGCATAAAAAAAATCATAATTATTACCAGAGACATATATATATATATATTGTATTTATATGTCTCTGTTATTACATAATTTCAGTTTGTTCAGTGTAACTTGATACCCCATGATTTTTATTTCTTAGAAAGTACTTAAATCATAATGTTATGTCATTCTGGGCACACAAAAGTCCACACGAGCTACTTCCTTGCAGTGAACATATGCAAAAATTTCCCTATGCAGGTTGCAGTCTTGTAATTGACTGCTCCATAGGCTTACATGTAAAAAAGCTGATCTTTGAATTTTTTTTAAAATAAAATGCTACATATAAAATTTGTTTTCATGTACATATCATGTATGTAGTAATGTGAAATTGTGATTTAATGCAAAAAAATGTGGGTCTTGCCACGAAGAATAAAAAGTTATAAAACCCCGAAGTCAAAACTACTTTTTTCGGTTTTTCTACTTTCTGTTTGCTGTTTTTACTAGGCCGCACCACTTCCAGCAAACATGATATCCTTCCACTTTCCTGGTTTAATATCCCCAAAAAGATGCCATATTTTTTTAAATCTAATACAAGTTTCAATTTAGAATAAACTTTTAATCAAACAGATGAAATTGAGTCCAGAAAAAAATTCAGAAAAAAAATGGGGCACCAGAAACTGGAGTTGTAATACAAAACTGGTACCTTTATTCGTTCGAATCAGACCTGGGAACAGTATGTCAATATATATGTTCCTGATCAGACCTAATATAGACGATTGACAGAAAGAATGATAAGAAGCTAGCTTTATCCGTTAACTAATCGTTCCGTTATATAGATAATGTCCTCGCACTAAATAATTTAAAGTTTGGTGACTATGTAGGACTCGGAACCGCGATGGTCACGCTAAAGTGCGACGGTCCACGCTGAAGTGCACTCAAAAACACACACTCAAAATATGGTCTTCAACCTAAATGGATTCAACATAAAATGTGACGATGAGGTGAAACTTCTAGGTGTAACAATAGACTTTAAACTGGATTTCAACACTCACATTTCAAATATATGTAAAAAAGCCGCACAACTAAACGTACTAAAAAGAATCGGTACTCATCTCACCAGACTTTCTTAACTTACAATATACCACTCATTTATCTTGTCAAACCTCAGCTATTGTCCTCTCACATGGCACTTCTGCAGTGAACAAAACACAAAGAAAATAGAAAAAATACAAGAAAGAGCACTCAGATTCATTTATGATGACTACAAAAATTCTTACGATACACTCCTTGAACAGTCTAAGCTACCAGCACTAAAAATCAGAAGAATGAGTACCATGGCATTAGAGACTTATAAAATAATTAATAAATCAAGTCCAGAATTCCTACATAGTTTAATAAAACAAAGAAAATTCATATAACTTCAGGTACAAAGGCATAGCGGATATACCACGGCCAAAAACAACAAGGTATGGTAAGAAAAGCTTTAGTTATGAGGCAGCAAGACTCTGGAACTCCTTGCCAAATGAGGAAAGGAGCTTATCAACTTTTGGCCAGTTCAAAAATGTTATCTCCACCTGGTGTTTTTCAGAAAGTTGTACCTGCAGTTCTTGTAAATAATGTAACTCCTTGCTGCCACATGACTTGACCTTGAAGCCTGCAGTTTGTTTTATGTTTTTTTTTATTTTTAGGCAGTTAAGCTGCCTTATGCGAGCACCCTAGATTTGTGTTCTACCCAATAAATGCTGAAATAGGTGCCATTGTTATTATCTAACTGGCTATTATGCTATTTATAACTAATTAAACATTTTTTTAATACTTTTATTTCTTGAATACAAAAAGTATGACCAGAAAAACCTTAAATGATCGTCGAACTACCCAAAACTTTTGAAGTTGCACATAGGAAGTAGTGCTCAATATAAATCCGTACGTAGTTTATTATCCCCTGTGCTTTTGGCTACGATGTCAAAGAACAATTGTATGAAATATTTCATCGCCGAAAATCGGTAATTACAAGTCGTTTATATTTCCTAAATGGCAAAATGCGCAGGAATATTGTTCATGTATAATACGTCCTGTAAACGGGCGTATAAAAAGGGTGCAATTTCATCAATGTCATTCGTTTTGGAGAAATATACCCTATTTGGAGATATTTCATGAAATTGCAATCCCATGGGTAGATTCATTTTACATCTTAATTTATGTTCCGTTTTTTGCTTGACCCTAGTCCTTAAACACAAACA